AGATTCAGAAGCTACGTGTTCATTTTCACTCTTTTGGTTTTATTTCCTGTCCTATTAGTTATCAATAGTACTTTTCTTTTTCTAAATATGCAATGAATCCATCTGGATAATACTCATTAGAAAGTGGTCAAAAATAAGAATTCTATGTGAAAGAGAATTTTTATGACACCTCATTAGTGTTATTTGGAATAAACTATAATGAGAAACCCCAAATTACATGTTTATGGTAAACCCTTCATAAATATCTATGTATTTTTCTTATTTGTATTGCATTAATTATTATAGTTGTCCTGTGAGATACACTTACAACAGGATGATTTTGGAAAATAATTCATTTTCTTAAAGAGGTTTGTTTTTTTAAGAGAGAGAGAGAATTTTAATATTTATTTTTTAGTTTTCGGCAGACACAACATCTTTATATGTGGTGCTGAGGATCGAACTCGGGCCGCACGCATGCCAGGCGAGCACGCTACCACTTGAGCCACACCCCCAGCCCAGAAAATAATTCCTGAAACAGCTTGCAAAACTGACATTGACAGGTCAAAAAAGAAAAGTTTTCCAAAACTGTGGAACCTATCAGCAAAACAAAAATAACACAAGCCTTTTTTTTCTTATCCTTCCCAAAATAAAATACTAGCCTAAATAAAAGTTTGCAGTGGCTTATTCCATTTTTCTCTTTCAATGTATTAATGAAACTTTCAATCTTCATGGAGTGAATATGACTTAGGAAATTCCACCTAATTATTGTAGCAGTTTTATTCTCTCTGTTGTGTAACCTCCTTTTGAAGAGAAGAAAGAGGTCATATTTCTAGTACATGGAAAGGATTTATAAAATTGAAAAAGATATTTTATTTATTTGGATAAACTTTACGGAAATCTGCATCCTGCAGTGGAAACCTTGAGTTAATTTAGATGACTATTCCTTAAATAGGTTTCACTTTCCATTCAGTTACAAGAAATGCCAAAGAAATATAAAACTTATATTAAGGAAATCTTGTATACTATCTACATGTACCTCAGAGTTCCTACTTTTCCAAATTTTTAGCAGTATTCATTCAGTTGGGAAATTCTTCTGAAGTAGGTAAAATGCATTCGTTTTGCAAAAGTATTTGCTTCCCCAAAGATTTTTAGCTACATATCTATGATGCATAACATGCCTGTGTAATATTATTGAGTCATATATTTAAGTTCTTTTAATATTCTTGAAATACTATCTAAAGATAAAGAGCCAACTCCTCCTAAACATTTTAATTAAAAAAAAAGAAGGAAAGAAAGGTAGGAAGACAAGAGAGAAAAAATGAAGAAAGGAAATAAGAGGGAAGGAAGAAGGAAGAGAGGAAGGAAATATGTGCTAGCCTATTACCAACTCTGTACCCCAAGTTTCAGTAACACAAAAAAGTAATAAATATATAAGGGTAGGAAAAGTTTTAGGTGAATTATCAGAGGAGCTGAGCGTTCCTGATGGGAACGGAAAGAAAATATAAAAAGATACCCATTGAAGCCTTGAGATTTAGAAGTGTTTAAATTTAAATGGCTTTTCTGGAGTGACTTGAACCAGGTAGTTTTGATCCATCCTATATTCTAGGTATGCAACTTCACAGAAGTTACACATCTATGTGATTTAAAGGTAATTCATAACCTGCAACCTATTGCATGAGGTAAAGTGTGGAATTATCCACTTGTGCTAATGTTTGGGCTCATAATATTATGCATATCAGATGTTTGATGTTTGGGTTAGGAATGCTCAACCCTGTCCATATCTATCACAGTTAAATGTAAAATATTCTAGAAATGAAATTCAAAGATGAGCAGTTAGAATTATTTTTCTGTTTACATTTCTATTGTGGAAATTATGACTTCATTAAATATTTAAAACTTACTATTTGTGAAGCATGGTTTAGACAGTATAGTTAATTGGGTTAACTGATATGCGTACACTTGTAACACACACACACACACACATTTTTGTGTGTCTTGCATCAGTTCTGATGCCTAGTGATGAGTGTCCTCTTTATTGCTAAGGAACAAACTAGCATGAAAGCAATCACTTGTCCTCAGCATTTATATTTTAGCCCAGATAGAATCCTGCTGAAGAAAAAAATAAAAAGAATCTTGCTGATGAGTTATTTGAACTAATACTTCTCCAACATTCTGAATCCATGGGCTATTTCTTCCTGTTAGATAGCTATTGCAACAGCATTTGCTCTCCCTTTACTAGTGCCCTTGTTCTCTAATTTGTTATAACTTTCTTCTAGTTGAATTCTAGAAGTACATATTTGCTAAGTTGCTGAGGCTGACCTTGAACTGGCCATCTTCTTGCCTCAGCCTCCTGATGTGCTGCGAGATTACAAGTGTATGCCACCATCCCACACTAGAAATATGTATGTTATTAGATATGATGAAAAAAATTCCAGTTAATTGCAAGGTGTTTCTTCCTGTGTGTTGGCACCAATACTTCATTATTTTCCTTGCGATATTGTTTCACAATAATCATGTTTCAAGCTATGAAAAGATTCCTATACCTGTGCACAAGCTGTCAATACATCTTTCCTGACCCTTTCTATCCTCATTTGGGAAATCATTTTTTCCTCATTCAGATTCCATAAGGTTCCCAAGAACACAGCTGCACCTAATGAGTTTATCTGCAAGTAAAGGGACTTGTATATTCATCCGCTCACCTGCACATGCATTGAACTAAATGCTTCCCTTTATATCTGCTTCTAATTTCTAGTTTGAGATGATAATGATGATAATGATGATGAATAAGGTCAATACATATTTGACAGAAAACTGAGTAAATAACATCAATTCACTTCTATTAATATTTATTTCCAAGGAATCCTGTAATCCAATTTGTACAAGATTAGTTCAACACTTGTTCTTGTACATTTAGTGAAATTGGGTTATATCTTAGGTATGTTTAAGAGACCCAAATTTTATAATGGTCATAATGATGATGATGTTAGAAAGAAAACAACATTTATTTTTAAATAAGTAGACACCTTTACAGATAAACTCCTATCCAGACATTCCTTATTAGTGCAATATAAATTGTAGAGAAAGATAAGGATTGTGAGGAATGTGTCTAGAGATGAAAAAGTCAAGAAAGGAATTTTCTAACTCAAAATATAACCCACTCAGCGATTGAGAATACAATGTTTTAGGTTTAATTCTAAGGAACATATAAGTGTACCCTCTGAGAAAATATGTCAAAAATATGTTAGTGAATTAGTTAAGAGGTAAAAAAAAAAAAAAAAGATTAAAAAATCACTATTTAAACCGTGTTAGTTTTAGGAAAACATTACAAACCTCAGGTAATAAATATTAAAACAAGTGAATATATAACTTTCTATAAATACAAAGGGGATTTAACATGAACATAATAAGAAAAGTGATTTCCACTCTAAATTGTGTTCTGAGTGAGGAGAAATTGAAGGTCAAAAGGTCTAAATGTCTTTTGGGGTTTTTTGCTGTTTTGTTTTTTCTGATGGAAAATATTTTCTGTATTTTAAGTGGCTATTGACTCAGGCAGTTGAGTGAAAAACAACTGTATTAGATAATGGAAGATGCTTTAAAAAAAAGAAATCATTAAAAGCATGATTATAAGCTGGTTGGCTGCTGAATGTCCAAATTGTGGAAATTTATTGATGTTAATGACGGTAATTATGGCAATTGAAAAGTATCTAAATAACAAAAAGGCAATGCTGCTTATGAAATACAATGATACAATTTGTAATGATTAGTGGAAAAGCATACTAATATATTTGATGCAATATTTTGAAGGTCACTCAGCCATCAACTTCCCATAATGCCATTCAATTAAATACACAATAAAAATCTATGATTATTTATGGAAAGTATTTTGTAGTGATCGTAGAATAGTATATTACAAATTCTGGCTGTATGTAAAAACAGAAACGCCTGATCTAATGAACCATTAAGCAAACTGTAGCTTTGCTGTACATTTTTTAAACATTAAACTAATTATGATGAGGTTTGGTCTTACTATATACTACGTATTTAATCGTTTTAAAAGCCTATCAAATTGAATCACGAGATACAACTTGTTTGTGCTATAAGCAACCACATACAATATTAACAATGCACAATATCCTGGCTTAATTGGAAAAAGTCCATGTTATCTTAAATACACTTAGAAGTATAATACCATACAGCTGTAATTTGAACTTGCCATTTAATTATACATAAAACTAATTTATATGACTTGAAACTTTCTCTCTTTCTCTTTCTCTCTCTCTTTCCTACCTACACAGAATTCTGTGCTATGGACCTAGTTAAAATTAGATCCTTTTGAAAATGAAAGAAAATAAATGAAGATTGAGTGAGGCTTGTAGGGAGCTGAGGAGTGCTACTGCTGGTGGAAACCACACACAAGGAATCACCTAAATTTGTTTATCAATTGATGTTCTGTTTACTAAGTCAATGGGCACCCTTGGAGGACCCTTTCTGGCAATCTCTGGGCTCTACCTTCAAGTTCTATGAAAGACTCTACTTCAGAATTAGAAGGTCTTCAAAATTTCCTTCTATTCTTTTCTGCCTCCCTTCCTTCCCTTTTACTTCCCACACTTAAGAGTATGCAAAAGAAAACCTCAAATCTCTTAATGTCCTCAACTTTAGTTAGTCAAATGTTAGGAAAGTCTCTAAGTACCACCTCTTTGAGTGTAACCTGACCATGAACCCTCTGTTCCTGTGCCCTCAAAGTAGTGACTCTGCTCTTGGAACCTAAATGTTCCAATTTAGGTTCTAGAACAATCTTTAATATTCACAATGAAAGATGGATGCACATGGTGTCATCAAAAATAAAAAATACAGTATAAATTTACATAGGACATTCAAATTTGTTTAATTAAGCTTTTTTTCAATAGCCTGCAATCTAATGGGATAAGGTGAAACAAGTTAATTTCTGGAAGACCATAAATACCTCATATCAGAAATTGAATTTTTCAGTAAAATCGATAAAAGATAATAAAATGGCGTACCTTTACAAATTGTGACACCATTTCCTGTAAATCCCAGGTTGCAGTAGCAGGCTTCAACTCCATTGCGGATTTCACATTTTGCATTTGAGAGACAGGGTGTCTTGGTGCAATTTTGAGTATGGGCACAATTCAACAAAGTGGAAAAACCCACTAGATACAACAGAAAAAAAACTTTTTTTCAAAAACATCCCCTCATTGTTGAGTTAGAATATAATAAATACAAATATTCCTCTTTCTTTCCATTTAGATAAATGGATCATGAAAATTTCCCAAGGGAGCATTTAGCTAAATAACAGCACAAAAGCAACCAGGCAAAAAGAAAAAGACCTTTTTCAATTTCAATCCTTATCAAGTAAAGCTTGACAAAACTAAAATATAATAAGCAGCACAGTTTTGTAATAAAAACTATGTTTCCAGATCATTGTACCAAGGTGATCTAATACCATTCCTCACAGGTAACTGCAAGATTGTAAAGCAATTTTTCTCTTTTGGGAGTAATTATTGTAATTTTTTTTTTTCAGAAATCAAGGAAATCTGTTATTTGGGTCTTATATTCAAATATGTGTTATTTTAAGATGATACCTTATTATCTAGGAAGACAAATGTAATTGTTGTTTATTCTTTCCTCTGTGTTCTAATGATTGTTAATTCTGCTTATCTTATAACACATTTTTTTTTACATTTTCTTACATTAGGGGAAATTAAAACAAAATACAACATACTGTTCAAAGATTGATCTTCCAGAAATGGAATATCACCCAAACACGACCAACAAAAACAGAACAAGATTTTATTTCAAAGTTGCTGAAAATAAACTTGGAAATGCTATTTTATGGACTGTTAAGATAAGAAAAAGCATAGGGTGTTCCTTTTTTTATTGTTGTTCCAGGTCTTCTCAAGAGAAGGCTTGGGGACCAACAGTTATGAATCATGAAGTCATTGTTCTGAAAACAGACATCTGAGATAAATTGTCCCTATCTGGCACCAAGAGATCCTTAAACATTCAATTCTAAATCCCAGGCCCACGTAGGACTGTATATACTGTCTAAACCAGAATTAATTCGCCTTCCGAGATGTGATTTATTATCTTTCAGGGCAGCATCATCAAAATGGTATTTTCAATGAACCCAAAGTCTGGGCAGGCAATCCCCTTAAAATGTCAGGAAGCCTCCCACAAGTGCTAATGGCTTGGATGTCCCAGGTTTCTTGGGGGGTGGGGGGAGATCAGAAAAAAAAAAGGTCAAAGTCTGAGTCTTTGAGGGCTTTGGGGACTTCTCCAGTATGAGTAAAAAAGTAATATCCCTGATCCTTGAATACCAAGTTCTAGAATTGAAAGGCCAAGGAGAAAAACATCCTAAGAAGTCCTGCGTCAGTCCTCCTCAGAGACTCTGCCAGATGTGCATACCACGTGAGGTCCACCTTGTAAAAACTCCCCATTCCTACAAGTGACTTTTCCCCCGCTACCGCGGTGACCAGAGACGCCAAGCACTCACCTAGGAGCGGGAGAAGCTTCATTGGCGGCGGCCGCGGCGGTGGGGCTGGCAGTGAGCGCGGCTGGCTGTGCGGGACCCTGTACCCTGGATGGCGGGGCGGGCGCGGCAGGGTCCGGCTGGGCTCCGTCCCCCGTGACGCACGGGCTTCCTCCGGACACTTTCCGGCCTCTTTTGTGTGAGTTTGTGTGTCAAGTCCTGAGTCTGCAGGCCACGTCCGGCCTCTGGACCCTTTCCCCAGGCCACCTGGGCTGCATTCCCTGCCTGGTGACTACAGCTGCCAGGACTATTGTAGATCCCCTGTGCATCTTTTGACCCCAGGAGCAGATCTCAGAGTGTCACCCTCAAGACCTGTGTTCAATAGTCAAAAATCTCCCGGAGACCCATGGAATAGCTTCCTGAGGGCATACAGAGCTAGCTAGATTTTAGGGGTCCTCCCTGCAAACTGTACTCCAGGATACAGCCTCCTACTGTTCAATAATTAACTTCCATAAGGAGCAATTGACCAAAAAGTAGTCAATAGACCTGGGTTCATGCAATACAGCATTGCCAATACTCAGTACTCACCTTGCTGGAACTCAGGGTTACAGGGAGAAGAGATTAGAATTGCTAAAACAACTGTACACACACAAACAAACAGATAGACAAAAAAAAACAAACAAACAAACAAACAAACAGCTAAAACAACTGCACAAAAATAAATAAATAAACAACAACAACAAAAAATAGAATGATAAAAACCAAACAGCAACAAAAGCAAAATTTCAAAAATAAAACAGCTTCGGACCATTTTTAAACTGTTTCACTTAAAATACACTTGTATCTACTTTCTCACCCCAGAACAATTTATGCATCATGGATGGTTTTCCTTTTGCTTGTTACTGAATAAGTTCATTATGTAGAAACATGATTCAGGTTGGAACATAAAAACAATTCTAGCTTAAAAATTAAGTATAACCGGCAGGTAAAATAAAATGTAATAATGGGAATGCAGATCAGTGGTTTCCTAGAATGGGAAAGACGAGTGAATTGACTGCAAAATTGGGGGTAATGGTAATATTGCATATCTTGATTGAGATGGTAATACATGAGTACAAGCATTGGTCAAAACTCATCTAATTGTGTACTTAAAATGGGTTCAATGTATTGTATGTTAAAGAAATCAAATTCTAGGTAAATTTAAATAAAATCAATTTAAGGAAAAGAAATGACTGATGTTCATACCATCTACAGTAGCCATTGTGCCTGGAAATATTTGGATTTACCCTGTCAAATCCCAAAGTCTGATTCACCCAATGTCAACCGTGAATGGACATTTTATAGACAGCATCTTCAAAACTATGAACAGCTGTGGTCCCCCCAGCTCCATGGAGTTTAACAAAATAGTGGTGGTAAAAATCAAAATGAGTCATAATGACACATCACAAAGACATTAAGTGCTTAAGTATAGACACATTTCCCTGGCTCTCCGCAGCATTTTCCTGGATCCTTTCTAATTTAGTTTAAAGACGACCAAAAATTCCTGAGAGTAATACCACAATATGTGAAGCTAAGAAGGAAGAGAGTGTTACATGCCTTGCTCAGAGTCACAGTTATTCTTAGTAGCTGGGCTTGATTCAATCTCAGGCTATTTTGCTCTTAGTTACCTACTATATTCCTTCCATAGTGTCCCTACCCTCAGGAGGTTGTTGAAAGAATGAGAAGCCATCAGATAGTGCTACTTAAGGACCTTGAAAACCCTTAAGGTAAAACAAGAACAACAACAAACACAAAACTTTTCTTTTAAAGATTTCTTTTATCTTTCTCTTTCTGCTCTTCCAAACTCTTCCTACTGGGGATTGAACAGGGAGTCAGGGAGGAGGGGTGCACCTGTACCACTGAGCTGTATCCCTAGATCTTTTTGTTTATTTAATTTGTTTGAGACAGTATCTCACTAAGTTGTCCAGGCTGGCCTTGAACTTTTCATCAGTATGTCTCAGTCTCCTGAGCAGATGGGATTACAGGAGGATACCTCTCTTTTTAAATAGGATAGCAATTCAACAGAAAAAATCTGATAGCAACACAAATGATGGATTTTAAGAAGATACCAAAGGCAAGGAAGCAAGAATAGAATACAAAGAGTACAGGCAGTAAACAACAAATTCCTGAACAAGAGTAGAAGATTTAGGGATGGTGAGGTAAGTACATGTTTGAGGTAGAGAGTATACAGATTTTCAAGTTATGTGAGTGGAAGAAAGAGCTATTCTCACAAAGAGGAAAGCTATGGTAAGAACTACCTTTGAAGGAGAAAAAAATTGAGCCTTTTTTGCAACAAAAAAGGTAAATTTAAATAAAATCAATTTATCAAACATCCATACTTTAAAATTGGAAGTACACCGATAAAACAGATCTGACTCTGTTTAGGTGAAACTAGTTCCTTCATGTGAAGCTGAGTTTCCATGTGCTGTATATACAGAGAAACTAACTTCAAAAGGCTTAAATATAGAAGTGAATTATTTTCTGAGACAAGCTATAAACTGAAATACAGCATCTATTTTAAAAAAATCATTATTCTAAAATAATTTACCCCATATATCTGTTACACATGCTTAATCTTTAGTTTTATCCCAAAGAATAGAGAAGACAGCCAAATCTTTTAAAATATAATTCTTCTCTGTACATTGCTTAAAAATTAGCAAAACAGAATTAAAACTTGAATTTCTTATTAAAATATTTTTCAAGCCTTCCTTTCACCTGGGCATTCTTTCTAAAGGTAAAAATCTATTCATACTTCTCATTAAGAAAATGATAGCATACAGGTGAACACAAGTGTTTACTACTATACTTCTGGTTTACAGATGGCAAGTTGCAATATCAAAATTGTTTAAAAATATATTGATCGAAGAAGCCTGCATTCCCTAAAGGAATACATGTAATCACTGTGTAACCCTGAATCCATCATCTTTACATTACTTACACAGAAGCATTGAGAATTTTCAATAAAAAATTTAATTGTCAATGAAAGAAAGCGTGTTTGAAAGAGGTGTTTTACAAAGGAATATTGAACTGTATGTCTAAACTTTTATCAACACATTTCCTTTGGGTGCCATTGGGGCATGTTTGGCTTTTGAAGATAGAATGATCACTTGGAGCTTAAATGTGGCTAAATATGGCACATGGAAGTCAAGTCACTTTAAGCTGCCTACCTAATTGTGATTTTTAGGAAATACACCATTGTATTGGCGTATTCTATCATCAATGTAAGATCTTATCATATTTATGCTTACTTCTATCTGAGGTCTGTTTACAAATGCTGAATTATACAGGATTTCCTCGAAAAGTTCTTGGACAGATTTGAGTTTGCTATGGAAGGTATTCAATGTGAAAACCTCAGTTTAGCTCTAGCTTTTATCTTGAATGGATTCTTTAACTTTATTGGGTATCAGTTGACCTGTTACATGGAAATTGAGATAGTGCATTACCTGTCAGAATTATCAAACATCCATACTTTAAACATTCAGCTCATCTAAATACAGTAAATCAGTGCACAGTTGATTGAAAAGACCTTCCCCGAAGTACTGCAAAGGCCTCTACTAGAAACATAATGCTGCTCCTGGAACTTCCTTCCTGAGGCCTTTGAGACAGTGTCTTAATTCTCACCTAAGTGTTAATGTGATTGGATTCTGTTTGTCAAACCATAATACTGAACCTCCAAACCTTAGTCATCACAGTTCATTTGACTTTCTCAAATTACTGGACTTTCATCATCAATTTGTTAATTTGGGTCATTTCTCATGACTTCACACTACCACAGTTCCTATAGCACAGCTGGATTACCATCTACCACATTATTTTTCCCTGAGCCTCAATTTTTATCAAAACCAGCTTGAACAATGTACAAATGGCAAAAGTACTCCAGAAAGATAAAGAAAGAAGACTTTATCACAACAAAGTAATATTGAAAGTTAAAACAAAAATCGTTTAGCAAAGTGAAACTGGAACCCATTCAGACTATGGGAACTCCCATAAGGATAAGAACTGAGTTATCACAAAATGGACTTCTTTGTTAAATGCTTCTTCTTAATGTGGTCTCTTACTTTCAGAGATTAGCTGGAAGTTGATTGTCTCAGAGGTCCTGTAAGTATACAGATGCATTTTTTTATCATTGGAATATCGAAGTATTATCTATTGAATTTAAATTTAAAATAAAAGTCAGCAAAACAGTTCTATTTACAGTAATTCTAAGTTCTGGGTTGGGGGTGGGGGACAAATTCTTTTTTGTCTAGTGTTAAATTTATAATGTAATATATAATATAATTTCCACTATGGAAAGAGATGTTGCAATATTCAAACATAGCTCTCTGGAAATTTGGATCTTTATAATCGGTATTAATATTTGTCAACATTTTGTAATAAAAATACATTACAATATTTTAATATACATTTCTACTTAGGTATCTGTAATTTAATCATCTAATTATGAACCTCAAGTTAGTCTTTCAAAGACCATTTTTAAAATGATTTTCCAAGATTACAAGTAGGAACATTTGACGGGCTTTCCTGCTGGTAACCTTCTCAGTGGAAGGTGGTGCAAAAAGCATCTGCTAATTTTCAGTGTTGCATGGAAGGGAGGAGGCCCAAGTTCCTTCCCAGCCTGGTTGTTCAATTGTTCTATGAGCTTCAAAAAATCACTAAATCTTTCCATTATTCTGTTTAACATTTGCAAATGTCCTTGTTTTGTATGGTTTCTTTTCTCCTCAAGGTTCCCTTCATAAAGATTTATAAATGAGCACCAACACTTAGGAACAGAGAGAGAGAGAGAGAAAGAGAGAGAGAGACCTGAGTCTATGTTAATTTTGTTTGCCTTTTAACACCTGTCTAAATTATTTCATTAATTTCTTTTCCTTTCTTTAGGACTTTTGCATATTACAAAAATCTAAATCTGTCCACATTTTATAAAAGGACTGCGCTCTTGAAACAGAAACCATGTTACTCACTTTCTATTTAATATTGTTTCACTTTTAACTGTGCTTTCCTCATGTTGTAGCTCTGATTATTCATACTTGATTGCTCTTCTTCATCAAGTTGTCTAGAATAATGTCCTGAGAGGTTACTGAATCCATCAGGATGTATAAGTGATTTAAATTATTCTTTTTAGATTTGTAATACATTGTACTTTACATTAAATTTC